TTTTCACCCACGATTCCGTTTTAACGAGAGCAGGTGAGCCGCGTGTGAGGAGGCTTGTTGTGAGTGAAGTAGCCTATCGAAACGATTAAAACCAGCGTGGTTACAGAAAGACATCGGCACCAGCTGATGTGTTCGCTGCTGTTCACTCTTGCTTTACCTGTGCTTGGAAAATATACACTATATCTGTGACAGAAGACGTCTCTCTCTCTGTGTTTCTCTGGGAGATTTGTCCACGAGTTAATCAATGGCGGATACTTACTGGGATTGAGAGCTTCTTTGCTGAAGCGATGGTGCAAAACAGAATGTGACAGGCCTCCACAGTTTATAATGGGAGGGGCTGCTTGTAGGCGTATATCCTGCCCCGTCAGGACCTGAAGAATTGAAAAGCCGGCACCTGCTGTACTGCAGAAAAACAAGTACGTCGGCGTCAACTTTGTACCAAAGTATCAGTTCTTGTGACAACTCTAGCCACCGCTCTCGTGGGAAGGCTGCAGGGCTTTGCTCTCATTCAGCCACAAGTGCGCTAGTGACGTCAAGCAATGATGCTGGACGAAGGAGTCAAGTTCCTCCTCACCAAACTGGTATCTAAAATATCATTCAATGTGTTGAATGCACTAAGTTACTGTAAATGGCTTACAATTGGCTTTCTGCAAAGACCTGATTTCTAAAATGCAATGTACAGGAAAAACTTTGTTTCCATAATTAAGAGGATTAGAAAAACGTGGTTTCCCCTGCTAGAATTTTCCAGACGAAAGTCAATTTCTTGGTTATGTACAGTATGCTTCACTAGGTTTCTCATTGGCTTTTTACATGAGCACGTGTGCATGTCGAAGACTGAAGTCGGGGAAGGTATGGCTGTGACAGGCTGACAGCAGTGCAGAAAGAAAAGATCATTACACATAAAGATGCCTCCTTCCATTTGAAATAATTCCATCCAAATTCTGACAAAAACTAAAATCACACAAAGTTCAAAAAATCCAGTTAACAGTCTACCACCACGGCTGTTAAAATAATATAGAATAATACAATATTCCCTTAATTTGAAAATAATTCCAATACAATTTTGGCCAAATAGTGTAATTGCTGACAAGAAGGTAAAGTATAGTCTCAGTCACGATTAATGAAAATAAATTTACCTTCATGTGGGAGCACTTTTAAATATACAGTATACTTTTATTGGTATGAAAACGTTTGAGCCTCTAACTGCACTGATGTCAGCAGAAGAAGCAGCATCATCACTTATAATACCACTATATAATACAAGTGTTGTTTTAAATGTATATCCAGGCTGTAAATCTAGGTTTATAGTCCTTTTCCGTCTCCATTTCTCAACTTTCCTGAATCTAATATTAGAAATAATATCCTGAAAAAATATCCTGCATTAGCACTTTATAGATTTTAATGGTGCAAGGTGAGACGGATTGATTTACCTGCCCCGTCGCCCCCTCTTCCCACTCCCCTATCAATTTCACCAAATCTATTGCAATCACACATAGGCATACACACTCAGCAACCCCCCCAAAACTACTGCAAATACTGCACACCCCCGTAACTCTGCCAAGCTATACTATGCTGTTTAATTGCTCTCTCAAATCAAATCAATAACAGTGAGGCATGTGTTGGGGTGGGGGCAAAAAAAATCAATTGTTGCAGCTTCACGGCCGAGTCAGAACGGGAGAAGGAGGAGTGGATTGAAGCAGTCCAAGAATCGATCGCTGAGACACTCTCCGACTATGAAGTGGCAGAGAAGATCTGGTTCAACAAGGCCAACAGGAGCTGCGCCGACTGTCGCCGCCCAGCAGCCGGAGTGG